TTGTAGAAACTAATACAGAGAAGAAGAAGAATAAAGATTTTATTATCCAGTATCTCTTTCCATGTACAGGGATAAGTACTTATAGAGCATTATTAGGATACAGAGAACGTATTTACTAAACAGCCATTAGGAGTAAATATAGAGAGATATAAGTATGAGCTGGGCTATTCTAACAACTTTGATGTAATTAAATATTATTATTATTTAAAAATTATTATTAATTTATAATTCTACAATCAATTTTAAATGCAAGTTAATTCTTAAATGTTTTTGCTATAAATTTATCACTTTACTATTTACCTTTTTTTTATTTCTTCTTATTTTGAATCACATTATAGAATATTAAAATTAATCATTTTAAATTAAATTTGTTTTGCTAAGTTGATGCTAAAAATCAATTAAAAAAAAAAAGTTGATGCTAACCCCATGCTCTAAAAGAAGTATATTTTAAATATGAATTAATATGAGCCAATAATTAAAAATTTTAAAGTAATTTTTTTTTATCAATTATGATTTTAAGAATATTTCTCATAAGTTATTTTAATATGATAATTATAATAATTATTTATAATGATAAACTTATTTAATTTATCTCTTAATTAAAAATTAAATATTTAATTAGAATTTTTAAATAATATTAATATATTTAAAAAAATTTAAAATTATTTACGTGCAGTTGATAAGCATGGAAATATACTAATAAAAAAAAAGATTTAAAAAAAAACACACACAAGAATTTAAACGAATTAAGATAAAATCAGATCATAGATTCATCTTAGCGTTAATTAAGATTCCAAATGCAGACACAGTTTTACTTGCCGAGAAAGAGACGATACTGTAATAAAACATTATAAGTAGCTGATTCTAAATTGAAGAAAACCGAACTACAATCACATTCACTCAGTAAGCGCGCAGCTATGACGACCATCTTCTGTCGCGGTGGTCGGAATTGAAGGTGAAGCAGAGACACGCCGAGACTGAATCAGTTCGTTGTCGTCGTCGTCATCATCGCCGGCGAGCGGTGACTGCTCGACTCTGATTTCTTGTATCATTCTCACCACGTCAACCATTACTGGTCTATTAGCCGGCTCCCGAGCCACGCAAGCCAGCGCTACGTGAAGCATAGCAACCATTTCCTCCTCAATGTTTTTATACCGCATTAACTCCGCATCAAACACCTCCGCCGTCCACTCTTCCCTCACCACCGACCTCACCCAGTCCGGCAAGCTCAAGTTCAGTCCGCCACCACCACCGCCACCGATGTCAGCCCTGCCTGTCAGGACCTCGAGAAGCAAGACGCCGAAAGCATAGACGTCTGCCTCCTGAGAAAGCTTTCGAGTTTCCACCTGCTCCGGCGCTGCATAGCCGGCCAGTCTGGCGGTTGCATTCAACGGATTGAGAAGCAGAGATAGCCCGAAGTCGGAGATGCAGGCCTTGCCGTTCTTATCGAGTAAAATATTGGAAGATTTAATGTTTCCATGAGGGATTTTTGAAGAAATGTACTCTTCGTGGATGTAAGAGAGCCCTTTCGCCGCGCCTAGAACCAGACTCACCCTTGTCGTCCAATCCAGCGGCACTCTCCCTGTTTCTCGTTTCCCTACTTAATTTTCATGGAATTAGTGATGGGAAGTTTAGTAATTATAAGATGAATTGCAGAAAAAGCTACCGTGGAGAATAGAGAAGAGTGTTCCGTTGGGGAGATAATCGTATATCAGAAGCTTCTCCTGTTTCGCGTAGTAGTAAGCTCGGAGAGGGACGATATTGGGGTGAGAGAGACGGCCGATGAGATTCATATACTTGTTGAAATCCTTGAAAGCGCAAGGATTCGCGTCTTTGAGCCTTTTCACGGCCACCATTTCGCCGTCTTCGAGCACAGCTCTGTATACCGTTCCTATACTCCCCTTCCCCAACATCTCCGCCGATGCCCGTAACAGTTCATCTAGTTCAAATCTCCTCCCTTTCTTCTTCCCCCTCATGTTTCCCATTCCTTCGGTCTTTTCAAAAAATACCAGCTGGCTCTGTGCCTCGGTCGCGCTTCCATCGTCGCTGTTTCTTTCCGTTCCTTTCTTCTTCCTTTTCCCGCTGCTCCTCTTCTCCTCATCATCGTTGGAGAAAGAATTGCCGCTGCTGCGCTTATAGTTTTCTCGTTCTCCCTCTTCAGCGTCTACTTTTCCATCGTTTTCACCTAGGTGACCAGCGCAACAGCAGTATGCGAAGAGCAAGAAACATAGAAGTGAAAAGAAAGCAATATTCCCCATCACAATGCTAATAATTGCACCGGTGCTCAATCCCTCTCTTTCCCGCCTTTCCCCGGCGACGGCGATGATTGAAGGTGAGCGCGGCACAAAGCTAGGTTTGGAAGGAACCGTAGATTGAGAAGAAGGGGAGGAAGAAATAGAAGGATGAGAATCACGCGGAATGAAGGAACAGAGAGGAAGGTGACCCGTCGGTCCGCAGAGCCCGGCATTACCCGTCACCGCCGCCAGCCCGAACTTCTCCAGCACGCCATCAGGCACTCTTCCAGAAAGCTGATTGTTAGACACATTAAGCTGCACTAGTTTCGGAAGTATCACAGTCAGATCTGGAAGCCGACCGGATAACAGATTGTTCTGAAGACGAAGCGTGAGTAAACGAGTTAGGTTAGCTAACGCCTCAACAGGAATAAAACCCTCTAAATCGTTGTCGGAGAGGTCGATCCGGAGAAGCCGACTCAGTCGGCCAATGGCTGTAGGGATCTCGCCGGAGAGATCGTTACCCGAGAGGTATATAAATTTGAGATTCCGAAGAGATAAAAAGAGGGGGAGAAGCGTGCCATTAAGCCGATTTCCATGGAGATCGAGAACGCGAAGCTGGTCGAGATGGGAAAGTGAATCGAGCGAGCCGCGGAGATCAAGCGATGAAAGAAACAGCGAAGTTACTCGACCATCCGAGCAGTTAACACCGCGCCATTGGCCAGCGCAGGCGTCGGAGGTACTCCAGTTAGCAGCGAGAATGCCGTGGACGTCGGCACGGTATCGGAAGACAACAAGGGCTTCGGTGTCGGTCATTGCGGATAGTGAAGGAATGTGGGTAAGCAGTAAGAGGAGGAGGAGGTGATAGAGAATAGGAGAAGTCATGAGGAGAAGCAAGAGGTCTCGAGGGTTTCGAAAGAGGTAAAGAAGAAGAAGAAGAAGAAGATCGAGATGTGGATCCCTGCTGCTTTAGCTTTAAAGGGGAGTAGAGTATCTTTTGGTTTGAATGTCGGAATTGATGGCTTAGGCGCGAGAGCGGCGTGATGGTGGTGAGACCACGAGGAGTTCTTTTGGGCTTTTTGGTGGTACGAGTCGGGCCAGCTGGCCCGCTTTAGCTTTGTAGTGCCTGACAAATCGGGTCGAGTTGGATAAAGCAATAGGCGGGCAGCGATGATCACGCCGGTAATTATTAGAGAATAGTACGAGATAGTTCTGGGTTTAACGAATTCAATCTGAAATCCAGGTTATAACTTTTAGCTGTTTGGATAAGAATGGCTTATAGGGGCTGTTTTTTAAGTTCAAGTATCACTGTTTAAGTTTAATAATAGGCGGAATTTTTAAAAGATTACTGTTTAACCTAAGAAACGCAATTAAAAAAAATTTAAAGTTATAAAAAAACTCGAATTCAATTCGGGATTTCTCAGAAAAAGCAAAACAAAATCGGGTTTTCTAAGAAATCCCAAAGCCAGTTAGAAACAGAATTTCAATTTGTTTTTCCTATAAAACAAGGCAAATTTATTAAAAAATAGTATGTTTTAATATACCTAAGAGGAAGAAGCAGCCGCCGAAGATAATTTGAGGGGGAGCAAATACCGAATTTATGCATTACTAAGTTGGTAAAAAGGAATTTTGGTTTCATAGAATGTGGAAAATCATTCTCAAAATTCTAATTAATGTGGAACACTTTTTTCACATTCACGCTTTTTTCTTTGGGAAAATTTGGCCGGTATATTAAGTAAATGTAAACATACAAGTAAAAACTAAGATCTACACCAAAAGAAGGAGAAGCTCACATGGAGCTCAAAATTGACAAGAATTACAAATACAATCAAGACCAGAAGGAACAAGAGCCTAAAAAACCAACATGAGCTGGAACTCAGTCAAAATACATCTCATCATAAAGAGATCCATAATTGAAGGCTCCCTGGTTGCCCAAAGACCATCCAAAGGTATCCAAAGTGAATGCGGACATCATTGTCCCAGGCTCTACCGCAAGAAAAACCCACAATGTGAAATAGTACCCAACGAAGATTAAAGCAACTCCAGCAACTTGATTTCATTTCTCCATTTACAAATTTTAGCAAAAATATTACTCTTAATCTTGCGAGGGATAGTAATAGAATTACTAGCATTCGTATCAAAACACCTCTCATTTCTTTCTCTCTAAATATAATAAATAGCATAGCAAGTAGCTAAGAAAAACAATATTTTCTCATCAGCAGAGAAAGTATCCTTTGCACTAATCCATTCTAGCATGTAAGCAACATTAGGCCGTAAAAATAAATAGGCTGCCCCTAGAATAAATCTTACAATAATTGAGGAGTAATTGCACTCAAAGAAAAGGTGTGCCGGTCTCTCAAATCCCGAGTGACAAAGCTTGCAAATAGAATCAATCATAATATTACGCTTAAGAAGAGTTTCAGTCGTTTTCAAACCATCCACTAGGCTAAGCCATCCAAAAACCTAAAAAGGCAAAGCATAGCATTTGTGCCAAGTATGCATAGCCCAAAAACACTCAGGCTCTTCTTTGTAAAACTCCTTAATAAAATCACCAAATGACGCCTTTTCATTATTACCTCAAAACAAACAGTTACCATAATTCACATTATTAGGAATAGAGATGATAGCAGAGACAATAGTTTGATCCAAATCAGCAGGCAAATTCCACCTCTCCCCAATAATGAAATTGCAAACCGTGGAATTTCAATTACCAGAAAAGTGGTTAGCCAAACAATCTACATTACACCAGCTGTCCCAAAAGAAAGCCATAGGCGTATAAGGAGTAATTTTAAACTTGAAGAGAGGTTTGGTAATAGCAGCCATTTCTTTAACAGATTTCCAGAATTTTATGGCATGTGCAGGAGGGGGTCACCAAGGAGAAGTATACTGAGGAATCAGCCACAAGGAGAGTGGAGAATTATAATTATACATCCTACAAATAACTGCACAGTTAAAACCAAATTGCAAAGCCTGCAAGGAATGCAATCCAAAACCCCCCAAAAGCTTAGGATTACAAACTTTATCACAAGCAACAAGATGCAACTTACAAGTGGACTCCACGTCTCCAAAAAATAAGAATTTGGAAGATAATATCTGATAAACTTCATAATCATTTTAGGTATAATGGAGCCTATGATCTAGTAAGCTATAGAGTTAAGAATGGTGAAATTAAGGAATTGTAAATGGCCAGCAAATGATAAAAGATTAGCCTTCCAACCTGATAGCTTTCGAATGATACTTTCAACCAAAGGTAAAAAATTGGAATTTTTGTGCCTAAAAAAAGAAAGAGGAATGCCCAAGTATGTAATCGTGGTACTAACATTATAAATGGATAGAGCATAGAAAATATTGGACATATTAAGCTCAGAGTTAGGAAACATAACCGAGCTTTTGTCATAATTGACAAACAACCCAGAAGCATTAGCAAAAGTCCTCACGTGTTGTGAAAGTTTATTACAACTAGCCAAATTCGCATTATCAAAAACAAGGAGATCATCAACGTACAACAAATGGGTGATGCTAAACCGATCCACCATAATTCCTTGAAAATCTCTATCATCAATCAATGCAGAGAAAGCATCCATTACTATATAAAATAGATATGGGCTAAGAGGGCATCCCTATCTCGACCTGTAGAAGAAGATAAATAACCTTCCAGAGCACCATTGATGAGAATAGAATAATTAACATTAGAGATACATGCTTTAAACTATTAAATAAAAGTAATAGGAAAGCCTTTCTGAGCTAATCTAGCCAAAAGGAATTCCCTAGAAATAGTTTCAAATGCTTTGAACTACAGGAAATTCAGCTATTACCGGCGGCCTAGACTGACGGATGTCTAGCCGCCGGTAATAACAACGATTTATCTAGCGGTTTGGCCGCCGGTTAATACCGGCAGCCTAACCGGGCGTTATTCAAGCATATGCCGCCAGAACTATCGGCGGTCATAAAATCACCAGATTAACCGTCGAACTTAAATATAACCGGTGGTATACCAGCAGATAGATCTGTCGGTGTTAAGTCATTTTTTACCGACGGCTTAAGCCATTAGAAAGCCACCGGTTAAAGCCCTAAAATGAAACAGCCCAAGCCTCCCATTTCATTTCATCTTCTTCCTTCTCTCTCTTCGGCCGTTCTCCCCATCGCCTTCGCCCGCCTCTCACGCGACCAAGCGGCTTTACAACCGCCGATGACCTGTCTCCGGCTGCCGACCCCACATCGGCTGCCCTCGAACTCCCACTGCAAGGCTGCCGACAAACACACCAGCCGGATCTCGTGCGCGACGCCGCCTTTGAGGTGAGCTTTTTTTATATGCTTCTTTGGTGATTATATGTTCTCATTAGACATTTGCAAGAGGTTGTACTAGTGTATGCTTTTTTAGTGATTATATTATTCTTGTTGATAAGACTAGAGAGGGAGTTGAAGGTAAACTTGAATTATGGAGGTCAACCTTAGAGTCTAAAGGCTTTCGTTTGAGTAGATCTAAAATTGAATATATTTAGTGTAATTTTAGTAATAATAGATCTATTGGGTGGATTGTGACTTTGGGTGATCAAGTCATTAATTAGAGTACATGTTCTAGATATATGGGGGCATTGTTTAAAATGATGGTGAAATAGATTGGGGATATAATTAGTAGAATTCGAGTGGGGAGGAATGCATTAAGTTAGTTCTGTGATAGAAAAGTCCCTCTCGAACTTAAGGAAAAATACTATAAGATGGTAGTGAGACTTGAATTTAAAGAGAAGCATAATGTTAAGTGTTGTAGAGATGAGGATGCTTAGGTGGATGAGTGGCTTTACTCTTAGAGACATAATAAGAAATGAAAATATACGTCAAAATGTTGGAGTAGCTCTAGTGGAAGATATGATTAGAAAGAGTCACCTTAGATGATTTGGTCACATAAAATAACAGCCTTCCGATGACCCGATTAGGAGAGTAGATGTATTATATTTAACCTATGTTAAGAAAAGGTAGAGATAGACTTAAAAAGATTTGGTTAGAAAATATTAGAAATGACATTCTTAGATGGTTTGGTCACATTAAACGGAGGCCTTCCGATGACCCGGTTAGGAAAGTCGAGGTATTAGATTTGGCTTATGTTAAGAAAGGTAGGGTAGACCTTAAAAGACTTGGTTAGAAAATATTAGAAATGATCTTTCTTTAGTAGATTTACATGAGAATTTAACTTTTAACATGACAAAGGTTGTTTGGCCAAGTACTTTCCTTATTCGGTTGGATTACATCAAGGATCAGCCTTAAGTCCATATATTTTTTGCTTTAGTCATGGATGTTCTCACTAGACATTTGCAAGAGGATGTACCTTGGTGCATGATTTTTTCTGATGATATTCTTCTTGTTGATAAGACTAGAGAGGGAGTTGAAGGTAAACTTGAATTATGAAGGTCAACTTTAGAGTCTAAAGGTTTTTGCTTGAGTAGATCTAAAACTGAATATATGGAGTGTAATTTTAGTGGAAATAGACATAGTTAGGGGATTGTGACTTTAGGCGATCAAGTCATTAATAAGATACACATTTTAGATATCTTGGATCTTTTGTTCAGAGTGACGGTGAAATAGAAGGGGATATTATTAGCACAATTCAAGTTTGATAGTTGAAATGGAGGAATGAATCGGGCTTGTTATTGTGTGATAGAATAGTCCCCCTCAAACTTTAGTAAAAATTCTATAAGATGGGGGCGAGATCTGCAATGCTTTATGGTGCCGAATCATTTTCAATAAATTAAAGAGAATGATGATTGGCTTGACCCTTAGAGATAGGATACGAAGTGAGCATATACGTGATAAGGTTGGAG